AACACAGGGCTTACTGTGCATGAGACTGCACTATGCCACAGGCTATATACCTTGGCCAAACACTGTTCCAAGAACATCAGGCTCTGACCCATAAAATTAGCCATGTCTTGTCTCAAGGTACAGACTAGTTAAGGAGTGGGTAGCAGAAGCAGGATCATCTCTCTTGAGCAATTTTCCTCAGTACTTCTAAACCAAGTAGCATCATGAAGTAGCATCATGTTGCCCAATAACCATGCCCAGTGAGCGTGGGAGAGAACTTCAGAGATCATCTAGTCCAACTCAACTTGAGCACATAAATGAGGTTGAGGAATGCTAAATGTTCCACCTGGAATAACACAGAATGAGCACCCTTATAACTGAAAATACAGACTTCCTTTCACTCTATCATGCCTACTCTGGGATTTTAAATGCTGCTTTCAAATGAGAAGTCCTTCCTTCTTGTAAACGTTTTGGTATTGTTTCCCATCTTTCTACATGTGGTATTAGATCTTCAGTTTCTTTAATGTAAGCAGGATTTTCCTGTTATATGAATTGCTTTGGAAAGTGATCTGAACATGAAGTACTGTTTTTAATTTTAATTTCTTTTTACTTTTTTATTTTTACTTTTTTAAAGACAGGGTCTGGTTCTGTTGTCCGGGTTGGAGTACAGTGGCATGATCATAGCTCACAGCAATCTCAGCAGTCTCAAACTCCCGGGCTCAAGCAATTTTCCCATCTCAGCCTCCTGAGTAGCTAGGACTATAAGTACATGCCACCATGCCAGGCTAATTAAACAAACTTTTTTTTTAGAGATGAAGTCTTGCTATGTTGCTCAAGCTGATCTCAAACTCCTGGCCTCCAGTAATCTTCCCACCTCAGATGCCCAGTAGCTATTTTCAGTCTTTTAAAAATACTTTTTTCTTCCTATTTACAGCTATCCTGCTCTATTGCCAAGCTCTTAACCCCCACAGATGTTTTTTTTTTCTGCTTTTGACCTACTCAATTCCTTCCTGAATCACACTGAAGAAAAATCCCAATTTTTTTTTTTAAGGGATATCACTTACTGAATTTTCTGAAGCCCGAGTCAAGAAAACAGGTTTTGTTAATATCAACTCAACTGAAAGAACTAAAGGTTTGTAAAACTAAGAGGTTATGTTTGTCATTAATGCATGCACATAATTTCAATTAAAGTTGTCTCATGAAGGGGATAATAAATTTTGAGAGGACAAAGAGCATAAACAAAGAATGAAAGGGAAGGAGCCATTTTCTCTCCTAATGCTTTCACAAGGTACATTTTCCAAGAACAATGTTGATACCCATAGCAGGAGGCTGATCATGATGGTAGCAAGCACATTCTGGAGATCCAGTTGAATAAAGAAATCCACTAATTCTGTGGATAAGTATTTGGATTCAAGGGACATGTGCCCAAAATGCCCACGGGAGCTGTATACACCTCTCAGAAGTGCTGCTTCTGGATCAACATTCTTTTCATTTTCCTGATTCCACAAGACGAGGACCTCCATCATATGCTAATCTCTTTGACATTTTATATACTTTATAACTTTTTATTCCTTTAATAAGGAGATTGGCCTAGCACAGATTATCTGTGGGCATAATTTATACAATGGTATATGGATAGTTTAGCTGTAACTACTGCTGGGAGGGACATAGCGAATGGCGATCCTACCCATGCAGTGTCATGCTGCCTCTGTTTCTGCTTAATGGGGGAATCCATTGCAACTCAGATTCCAAACAGAGCATTTCCCTTTCCATCAAAAGGAGTTGGTATATTCTTCTTCACTCCAGCTGAGTGGCAGCGAACACAGGCACAGTACACAGAAACAGCTGGCAAAAAGAGCATTCTGAGAGGAACAGCCAGGGAGCTTGGGGTCCCACAAACACAAAGAAAGAAAAGTTCCTGCAGGGGAGGTGAACAACCAGCTACAGTGTGTGCCTCAGAAATACAACAGGTAAGGGCAGGACTTAGAGTCAACACTAAGGAAGTTGCTTCAGCAGACTATGCGTTTTTTGTAAGTAGTAATAGAGAACTGAATACAAAAAGGTACTAGGTCAATAAAGACTAGATCAGGATAGAGATGATTTTCATATAAGCCATACCTAGATGATCACTTACTTTGTGAGATGGCGTCAGAATTTCTCCGCATAATGCTTATGAGTTAGAAACCATTCATGTCTGAAGACTCTCAACTTTTCCTCCTCCCCTTACCCCATTACATGCTTGATGGAAGATCCTGTTTGCCTGCTGGGCACTGATCAGGATGATGGGTAGAAACTTCTGCAAGATTGGAGAACTAGGGGGATTTTACATTGATAAGGGAGTAAATCCCTGGTGGGAGGACAGAACAGATGCAGAAAGGAAGAGGGAGCTTTCCTTCTCATCTCCCAACAGAAACTAAGAACAACCGAACAGAGTCTGGGAGCAGGAGCTAAGTGTGGGTCAAGTTTCGGGGAAGTTTAGATTTAGGAAATGCAGGGCAACTACTGGTGTGTGCAAGCTGTAAGTGGAAAGAAACGAGGAAACACATTTTTATCTGTTTGCTGGGCATGGTGAATGGATTCCTCTTTCATTCCTTGAGTGACTCCAGTAAAGATTTAAACTACTTGGAAATTAATTTTAAATATTGGATTGGTATTTCTTTTATGGCAACTTCATGGGGCCAAAAGGTAGTTGAGGTTTATAGAGTTAATATGTAAAAATTTAAGCTTTCATTAAAGGCACAGTAAACTGTTCATTGTTCATACATAACTAATTCTTTTTGTATTGTCATAAAAGCCTTGATTGAGAGAAAATTCCAGATACTTTTATTGAGAGATGACTAGACTGGGTGGAGGGCACTTAAACATATCTATTTTTTTCTTTTCTGATGTTGACATCCGGGGGATGACCAAGGTTCTCTCTTCCATAAACCTGCTTTGGCTGGGTTATCTCTGGATGTGTTCTAGGTAAAGACAACAGAGGCTGTAGCAGAGGGAAGAGGGAACTGAGGCTGGGGCTCAGGAGGTTCCAGATGTCTGGGCTTATGGGGACCCTAAGGAGGCATATGATAGGTCAGTGAAACAGGGCAGGCCACACCTCCACATGGGGAGGACTTCTTTGGTTCTTAGTCATTTCTCCATCCCATAGCTATGTTCTCACACAGAGTACAATGGTTAGAGTGAGCCATGTTCCCACGCAAAGAATAAAAACAACACAAAGTTTGGGAGTTGTGGGCTAGAAGCATTCTTGCTCCCCAAATTAGGGGAGGCAAGAATATGTCTTTGTTATGATATGACATAAGGTTCCGTGAAAACAGACCCTACCACTCTTGGCTGAGCAACCTTGGTCAAGATTCTTGTTCTGTCTATTTGCTCTTGGATCTCTCAACCACAAATGCAGAGACTAATACCCCCTACCTCACAAGGAGGTTAAATGAGAGAATATCTATACAACACTCAGTAAATGCTTGGCATATAGTTACTTCTTACTTCTCAAAGGTTACTTCCTACTATCTGTATTAGTAAGTATTTTAGTATTTTTATACTAATGACAAAGACTAGCCTTTTAAAAAAAAACATGATTAAGTTTGAAAAGGTGTAACTACACTGGAAAATACATCTCCTTGGCTTTCCCTATATTCACAGGTTATTTCTATGTCAATATGAGTACATTTCCCTGAAGGTCAGTTATCTTCCTAATTTCTTCTATACCCCTTTTATCACCCCAGTCTCCTGTGCGTTACCCCCCAAAGGAAGTGACTGTTGATCACTTCCATGAACTCTTTTTCCTCGGAGCCCCATGGCTCTGTAGGAGACCTGTCATTGCTATATCTCCCTTGCATTACCATTATTTGTTCACTTGTCTCATCTGCCTTAATTGCAATTGACTACAAAGATGCGACAAGCCTTATTTACCTTGAAATGAACACCTGTAACATATGTGCCTGGTTAGGTGGTAAGTATTTAAGAAATATTTTTAAAGCAGATGAGTAAAAATCATCAAATAAATTATTCATGGCATGCGATGTCCTTTGTTCATCAGAATAATTGCTTGTTAAAATAATTAATGTCTGTCCCTTGGGGGCGTTCCTGTTTCTTACAGATTTGGGTAAATCATGCCCCATGTACACTTGCCCTCCTCACAGTTCTCATGGCTTATCTCATGGTGCTTTCCAGCCTTCTGGTGTTGTTGCCTGAGTCAGAGAGGGGCTTTCTAGCTGGTTCTGTCCTGCCTTTAGACCTAAAATCAAAGCTCTACCCTTTCTTCTTTTTTACACATGGAAGCCATTCATTTGCCATCTTCCTTGTGCTTATTAACTGTCATAAATGTTTAGGGGATGTTTGGAGAGAAATTACTTCTCATATCTGTGACATTCTACCATTCAAATACTAACCAGGCCCTGCTTACCTTCCAGAGATCAGACAAGATCTGGTGTGTTCAGTGTGGGATGGCCATAGACTCATATCTGTGACTTTCTACCATGTCAGGGACACTTGCCAAGTTTCACCAGCATCACAGGTGTCCCTGCCAAGTGTGGGCTCTGGGAAGCAGACCTCAGGCCTTAACACCAAGGCATATGTAGTGAATTGGGTTTGTGTGTCACTCAAACTCACCAGGCCTGGTCTCTACAAATCTGGGGCATTAAAGCCAGGATGATTCTAGGACCTTGAAAAGTGCCAGTTAGCTTCAGCCATTATCTTTATAAATACTAATTTCTGAGAACAAATAATCAAGTAAACTTTGTTTTTCCTTGAATCAGAAAATTTCAGTGATGTGTTCAGTATATTCCATCAGAAGTAAACTATGGAACTCCACCCCCACTCTGCCCATAGCAGGAATATACTTTTCTTGCCAGCACTGCTAAAATGCAATTTGCATTACATCCTACTGTATGGTGGATGAATTCAAGTTCATGTTCTAGAAGCAGTTCCTAATAATTATCGTTTCAACATCTTGGGAGCAACTCCCATCTCTTGTTCTTTCTTTACACAGATGTATTGAAATGTCTGAGGGCATGCAAAGATCCTTACCCAACAGTGGAGTCCAGAAATCCTGTAACACCAGAGAGTTGGGGCCAGTCGAGCTCATCGGTAAGGGCTGTTGGTAGATTGATGAAAGAGTTCTAAGGAAAACAGTAAAGGAGCAATTATCAAAATGGTCATTTATTTCCTAAAGGTAGTAAGAAAATTCATGGCCTGAGCATCGCTCTCTGTCTGTCTGCCTCCCACTCTCAATCTCTCTTTTTAAGGGCTTTTGGTATTCAAGGCAGATGCCTCTAACCTTCAGCTTCATCAGGGAAGTCACAATGATCAGCACTACCCTTGACCTGTCTTCTACTCAGCTCTTGCGAAACATGCAGGACATTTGGCATCTCAAGCACTTGGGAGGGATGCTTCAGCAGACTGAACTTCCCACTCTTACATTTTCTGAGATTTTCTCCATTTTGCAGTGTAGGCCATCAGAAAGTCAATCATCTGAAAAGTCATTAATCTGAAAAATAATGCCCAATCCCTCAGAAAAAATGCCTTCCCTGGGTTCAAAGCTATAGCCTTAAGGCATTAAGGTGGTGCCCTCTGACCTTCCTGGGGGTCTCAGACATTTTAGAGAATCTAACTGTGGTTCCTTTCCCCACAAAAATGCACATGTATTTAACCTGGCCCGTGATTTCAGGAGGCTCACGGATCCCCTGCAACTCCTGCACAATTTGTCAAGAACTCCTGATACAAAGTGTTGACAAAAATAGGATTCATTTGAACCACATTTCTATGGCTTGTGCAAAATCAGCAAAGAAAAATGTGATGAGCTACAACCTCGTATTGTTCCTTTTATGAGTGACTTCTGGGACTAATCTCTCCTGTGGTCTAATTTTTAGAAAAAGCGTATCTAAATTGGTATGTTTGGAATAGGACTGCCAGATTTAGCAAATAAAAATAAAGGGTGCCAGACAGGTGCTGTGGCTTGTGCCAGTAATCCCAGCACTTTGGGAGGATTGCTTGAGCCCATGAGTTTGAAACCAGCCTGGGCAACATAGGTAAAATTGGTTTCTACAAAAAATAACAAATTAGCTAGGTATGATGGCATGTGCCTGTGGTCCCAGCTTCATGGGGGGTTGAGACAGGAGGATTGCTTGAGCCCAGGATGTCAAGGCTGCAGTGAACCATGATCACACCACTGTACTCCAGCCTGGGCAACAGAGTAAGACTCTGTCTCAAAAATAGATAAATACATACATAAATAATAAAGGATGCCCAGTTAAGTTTGAATTTCAGGCAAACAAGGAATAATTTTTTGGATTAGTATGTCTCATGCAATGGTTGGAATATACTTATACTTGAAAAATTTGTTGTTTATCCTAAATTCAAATTTGACCGAGTATCTTGTATTTTATCTGGGCATCTGTCTTTGGATAAAACCTTTAAAACCCAATATTCCTTTTTTGCCTTCACTGACAGGAAGCCTCCGTGAGTGGCTGCAAGAAGCCTCTGTATTTCTCAATATTGAAAATCCATGTTCCCTTTGGGTAAACGTGAAAACCTTGAGTCCTCCTTTAATGCTATTTCAAAATTTAAAATAAATTAAAGTATATCTAAAGACAAGCACGTCAAAGCAATTGTAGTTTTAGCACAATTTTCCAAATGGCACATGCCCCTGATCTCCTGCTTTTTTCCTCATCCATGAAGATCCCTCTCCTAAAGAGACTCTGATGCTAGAGGCTGTGAGGGAAAGAAAAGCCATTAACCCCTTGAAAATATGTCTTTATTGTTCTTTCTTATTGCAAGGTAGTACATGGGTTTGTTTTAGAAATGCAAACATAATCACTTATAATGCAGAAATGAAAGCCCCCCATCACCTTCCCCTAAGAGATAACTCTAGTGAGATAACCAGGGTTAACAGTTTGTGTCGTGCATAGAACAGTTTATATGTGAAATCTACCACAAATCTTTAAACTGGGAAAAACTCAATCCTTCTACTTTCAGAGAGATAGAGAATGAGAACTCAAAATAAATAAAATGCAAATTTATATTTCTTAATTGTGGACTGTTACGGGTTGAGTTGTGTTTCTCAAAAAGATGTGTTGAAGTCTTCACCCCACCTCCCACCTCAGAATGCGACTTTGTCTGGAGTTGTTGCAGATGTAACTAGTTAAGAAGAGGTCATACTGGAATAAGATGGGCCCCTTACGACTGGTCCTTATAAAACAGGAGGAAGACACAGAAACGAAGACACGGGGGGAAGGCCACGCAACGGTGGAGGCAAAGATTTGAATGATGCTTCTGCAATCCAGTTAATGGCAAAGATTGCCAGCTGTCACCAGAAGCTGGAAGAGAGGCATGGAATAAATGTTTTCACAGACTGCCAAGAAGGAACTAACCCTGCTGACATCTTGATCTCAGACTTCCAGCCTCCACAATTCTGGGACAATCCGTTTATGGTGCTTCCAGCCACCCAGCTTGTGGAACTTTTATATGGCAGCCAAGGAAACTAATACGTGGCTTGAATTGGACAATATGCTTGTTGCTTTTGTTATTCAAAGGGCTAAGACATGAACCCCTTTACTATGTTTACTTTCAAAATAATTCCAGAACAAACAAATGTGTTCAAAAGCAGCAGTCATCCCGTGATATCCTGTATATTTTCTGTGGGTCTCTGAGCTTCCTCTGCTCCTCCTTCTTCAATTGCCTCCTCCTTCCACACATGCCATGAAACCTCCATTCTTATTCTTATCCTAAGTGTGATTTCCAGCATGGTAGGGGCTGGAAGAGGGAGGAGATGGTCAGGAAGTATGGCGTCCTGGGATGCACTTGTATTAATGATGATTTATCCTCTTTAAAGAACCAGAAACAACCCCATGGAAAGAAAGCTCCCAGTAAATCTCAGAGGACCATGCAGTCTCAGTGACCGGTACTTTGTCACCCCTTAGCATTCAGCACCCACCATTTTCTGCTCAAAACTCCACCGTTACTGTGACTCAGTTATTCTCTGTTTGGGTTTCTATTTCTCCTGCCACTATAAAGCAAAAATTTTCTCTGTGTTTTATCTTATTTTTCCCTACATCTTTCTGCTTACAATGTGTGTTTACTGTAGGATTTGAGAGTATTCAATTCCGCCAGACAAGACAAGAAAAACAAATAGAATGGATGAAACTCACAAGATACGTTAAGCAGAGATAGTGAGTAAGCAAGTGGCTTGTGAGATGCAGGCAGAATTTATGAGCTGTGTTGAGTCAGTAACCTGCAAAACACGTTGAAATGTACAAGAATGATACAGTTCTTTTCCACCCCACTCCCTCACCTTTTTGTCTGTCATCTGTGCAATGGCAACTCCAGACTTGGGAAACTGCATGAGGAACTAGGTTTCTGATTCTGTGTGGGTCTGCTCTCCCTTTCACAGGAAGGAGTTAGACAAGAACTATGCAGGCATAGGGATACCCTCTGTAGCCTGGCACACTAAGGGAGGGGTAAATAATTCTGAAGTGTGCCAGCAAAGTAGAGAAAGGGCTTTGCTCTAGAAATCAGGTGATCTGTCTTCTATGTCTAGCTCTACAAATACAAAGAAGAAACACAAATCAAGAAAACTCCATGATTGGCTCTGAAACCACTGGAAATAGGTTCTGTACCCCCGTAGCCCTCATTCTCAGTCAGGGGTGGGTGATGAAGTTCTTGTCTTCAGTGGTGGAAGAGGGGATGTTGAGAGGAGGGGTAGGGTAGGTGGGAAAACGGCAGGCAATCCCGTCTTGGGAAGTGGGATCTCCATGTTCCTAACGTTCTCCAAGCTCAGTTCTCTCTGGATCAATCTGAAGAAATGGGGCTCAGCTACCTGGGAGATTCCTGGAATCCTTGCTGATATCTCGGAAACCGCAGTCAGCCTTGGAATCACCCCCATCAGGATTTCAGCTGGAGTGGACAGTGGCTGGTGCTGAATCACAACTGTGGCCAGGGGAAGTTTGCATTCCTCAGCGGGAGCCCTGGAAGGCCCAGGCAGACCAGCTGCATAGGTTTATCCTGGTCATTCAATTAACTTCAAAATATAGCAAGCCTGTGCTTTCCTGGTTGAATGTTTTAGACTTCACTTCTGATGTTAAGCCAAGGTTTTACTGTCATTAGTGTGCAAACTTGGGGAAGATGTATTTCAGTTTCAGTATCTCCAACGGCTATAGAAATATTACCTTATTTACTTCAGCAAGACTGTGGGGAAGACCAAAAGACAGTCAGAAGCAGGTTGACAAGTCAGAGCCCTACTATGTGAAGCATCATGTTTAGGGCGGACCACCTAGTGTCCCTTTCCAAGTGAACTGTCCCAGGTTTAAGAGGAGTGATATTTATTTGCCAGATAATATAAAAGGTTTGAGCAGACCAATAGAAGCCTTGGAATATTTTTTTTCCTTAGTAAATTTGGTAGATAAAAATGAAAAGCAGTGACTATTAATAGCAAATGTTTTATAGACCCTAGCAAAAAGAGAATGTTTAAGTCCTATCACATTAAACACTAAAAGCTTTATTCATGCAACATTATATCCAAGATATTTCAGGCATTTGAGGCAGGAAAAATGCAAATTAAGATTTTCCTCATCAACTCCTGGTTATTCCTCTTGAGCATTTATGTTCTTAGGAAACTCGTTTTAAATGTACCTTAAATGTACATATGTGAAAAAGACTGAATATTTACCAAGAAAAATTTTTCCAAACTTAAAGAGTATGAGCAACCTAGCGAGTGTTAGATCACTACCGCATTGCTTCAAAATTTCCTCTGACCTTTATCAATGATAGATATTTATTTTTATGGCATAGTTGGCACGTGTATACTATTTTGTGTAATATTTCATTTAACGTTTCCCTGTGTGTGGGTAGGTGTGTGTGTATTTCCATGCATTGACAAAGCCCACTGGTTCCCATTTTTGATGGATATTTTGTAAACACAATAATTTGAATTTGGTAATATTTTAAGCCCTAACTTCAGCAAGCAATTGATGTTCTTAAAGCTTTGTTGCGTGGGAGAAAGAGAGTAATGACACCAATCCCTCATTCATCTGATTCTGCCAGCCTTCCAGCAAAGCAGGCAGTATCCTCAGTGCCTTTCCTTCACTGTTTACATTTGGGCTCTCTCCATCCTGCACTGCTGTGG